TTTTTTGGAGCTGTTGTGTTTGAGCCGGGAACTCTCTCGCAAACGTGGGTTACAGGCGTCTCCTAGCGGCGAAAGCAGCATAGGGCAAGCCAGAGAATTTTGCTTTGGAGCTCCCATTCCGCAGGGTTCGCCTGTTGGGGGCTCTGCAGGATTTCTTGGGTCACAGAGGCCTGTGTCCGCGCAGGCGACGCCGGCCCGGGCCCTCTAGAGGTCTCGCCTCTCGAACTTCTAGTCTCTAAGGCTCCCCTGGACACTCAGGGTGACAGCGGGGTCTTCTGCTAGGGGGAACAGACCCGAGCCCGGCCTTGTCTTCCTTCTAGGTAGCTCCAGCCAAAGACAACTGCCAGAGCATTTTGTTCCGAACAAGATTCAGATACTGGCATTAATAGCCTTTTCCGCTTCTTTATCCTGGAACCATAAAACAGCCCCACCCCGTCACCCACAAAACAACAGCCTTTTAAAAATGCCTCTTAATTCCTTTTTCTTTTACGTGTCCTTCGGTGGACCCCAGAATTTAGTGAAGCCATTATTAAGTAAATAAGAGCCTCGGTGGTGGGGTTCACGACCTCTTTGAAGTGCGGAACATCGTGTAATAAACCGCATCCCTCTATCCCCCTTCCCCCATTACTGGACCCGGAAGGGAGCAGTGATACCTATGGAGCACCTCCCTACCCCTACCTCCAACACCTTCTCCAGGGGAGCCAACCGTCTGGGCTAAAACAAATTGCATCCTAAATCAGAGTGGGAAAGCAGTAATTATTATTTCGAGAGGTGTATCAAAATCAATTTTCATAAAAGTCCTGGTTGGTGTATGAGAGTGATAATGCACATTCGTGTGTTTCATTGGCCTCTAAGTGCAGCAGAAATTGGGGGGTGCAAAGGATCCCACAAATGCTTTTTATATACATAGTTAGAAACTTTGAAACTAGGTAACAGGGTTGCTTTCTTTCTTACCCTTTTGTGGAAAAAGCGGGAGGGAAACAAGTTTGTTAACCAGCGGTTGGATAAATGAGTGTTTGCAGTGATTTAACTTGACTTGAAAGCAATTTGTTTCTAAATCCTCTTATTATTGCAGTGTGCCCAGAGCTTTGAGAGAAGATTTTTTTTAAAGAAATGAAAGAAAAAAAATTTAAATTGTCAATAAGAAGTCTTTCAAACACCAGACCTGGCCAGGATTGAGGTAGATGGTTCCTGGCATTTGCCATTCGCAGCAAGGAGAGTGCAGAGAGCAATCACAAAGGACCTGGACTGCGTTGCATCTCTTATGGCTATGAAATAGGTTTATTTGTGGAAGTGCAACCTAACTTTAGAGGTGGAAAGTTTTGGAGCCAAAGCCAGGGACGCTGATATTTTTGTTCATCTAGTTATAGAGA